TCACATTATAGTGAGGATTCAGCCTTGGTCGAGGAAGGGGAGTTGATAGATAGAGATTTCTCTGATGATCAGGGTCTGATTTTTGATCAGCCTAATTCCTCTGGCCTGTTTAAACCTACTCTATTTAAGTCCTTATTATATAAAGCTAAGGCTACTACTGATATGGGAGAGATGGCTCCCAAAGATAGCTCTGCAGTAGGCCTGGATACTACTGAGCACCTATTTGCTGAACCGGTTTCACTACAGGAAGTGATTCCTTCCCCAAAGTTATTCATGGACCTCATTCAGAAACAATGGGACCAACCGACTGCGGTTGCTCCGCCCAGCAATGGAGACAGGAAATTATACACTTCCACTCCTGACTTAGAGAACATTCTGCAGTTTCCGACTGTGGATCAACCAGTAGCTGCCCTAGCTTCCCCTGCACTGATTCCGTCAGAGATTTCTGAGGGTCTGAAGGCCGAGGATTGGAAGGCCGAGACAGTCATTCATAAGACCCATCAGGCTGCGGCCTGGGCCTTGCGTGCTGCTACTGCGGCATCGTTCTTTAATAGAACCTCTGTGCTTTGGCTCAAACAGTTGCAGGAGAGACTGGCCCCTGGTGAGGGGGGGGGTTTTCTAACAATCAACAAACAAACAAATAAAACAAACTACAGGAAGTGATCCCTTCCCCAAAGTTATTTATGGACCTCATTCAGAAACAATGGGACCAACCGACTGCGGTTGCTCCGCCCAGCAATGAAGACAGGAAATTATACACTTCCACTCTTGACTTAGAGAACATTCTGCAGTTTCCGACTGTGGATCAGCCAGTAGCTGCCCTAGCTTCCCCTGCACTGATTCCGTCAGAAATTTCTGAGGGCCTGAAGGCCGAGGATCGCAAGGACGAGACCGTCATTCATAAGACCCATCAGGCTGCGGCCTGGGCCTTGCGTGCTGCTACTGCGGCATCGTTCTTTAATAGAACCTCTGTGCTTTGGCTCAAACAGTTGCAGGAGAGACTGACTCCTGATGAGGTGCGTCTTTATCAAGATGTCACCAAGATTATGGCTGCACTAGAGTTCTCGGCGGATGCCACTCTCAATGCCACCAAGTTCGCTTCTCGGGCTGTGGTGTCCAATGTGGCGTCACATCACCTGTTGTGGCTCCGCCATTGGCAGGCTGATGTTAAGTCTAAATGGCGCCTGGCGTCCACCCCCTTCAAGGGTGGTGCCTTATTTGGTTCCGTACTTGACCCCTTACTCATAGAGACCAGGGACAAACGCAAGGTTCCCTCCTCCACCGGGGGACGCAATACCAGGAGGCAGCAGCCATATAACAGGCGGCGGTCCTTTCGGGGAGGTTACTCGGGATACTCCACAGCTCCCTTTGTTCCCCATTACAACAGGGGCTTTCACCAGCCACAGAACCACGGCCAGGACCATGCGGGGGCCAGGGATAGGGGGCGCCAACAACATCAGGCGCAATCCCACAACCGGAGGTCCTTTCGTGGATCTGGGAACCTGTCCTTTCGGAGGTACCGGTGACTCCGAAGGGGAGGAGCAGGTGGGCGGGCGTCTTCTGGCCTTCGCTCATCAGTGGGCAGAGACCAACGTCCGACGCCTGGGCCCTTCAGGTGGTGTGGCTGGGCCTCACCCTAGAGTTTCTCTCTATTCCCCCAAGACGGTTCATCAGGTGCCCCGTCCCCAGGTGCTCAGTGAAGCGGCGCCTCATGGAAGCCGAAATACATCATCTCATCTCCATCAACACCATAGAACAAGTTCCCAAAGAGCAGGAAGGCCTAGGGTTTTACTCCATCCTATTTCTGGTACCCAAAAATTCAGGGGGATGGCGGGCCATTCTAGACCTGAAAAGACTCAATTGGTACATCAAGTATCAGAAATTCAGGATGCAGTCCTTAAAGAGCATCCTGGCATCCATCCCCCAGGGCGACATGATGACATCAATCGACATCAAAGGGGCATATCTCCGTGTGCCCATCCATCTGGCGCATCGGAGGTTTCTTCGCTTCCACTTCGCGGGCCGTCATTTCCAATACCGGGCCTTGCCTTTCGGTCTCTCGTCGCCCCCCTTGCACCTTTACCAAGCTCCTAGCAGTGGTGGCGGCCTCGCTTCGCTCAGTTCCGGTGAGAGAGAATTGTTACTTAGACGACATCTTGTTCCTGTCGCTGTCTCGAGAACAGGCCCTGTGGGATTTGCAAGTAACAGTGGACTCCCTGCAGAGGCACGGCTTCGTCTTGAACCTCCCCAAGAGTCATCTGCAGCCAACTACATCATTGCTTCACTTAGGGACCGTCATCAATTTCGCCACCTGCGAAGTCTTCCTGTCCTTGGAAAGGCGACAGAGCATCTAGCGGCTGGCAGCCCAGGTATCAACTCTGCGGCTGGTGCCCTTGGCCCTTCTCTCTCAACTGTTAGGGAAGATGATATCTTGCATCAACATCGTTCCCTAGGCCAGGTTTCACGCACGAACACTCCAATGGTTCCTGCTTCCCTATCAGAGGTCCCACACCAGTCATTCACAACTCAAGGTCCGTCTTCTGCCCAAGCCCCTCAGATCACTTCGGTGGTGGGCGTCCTTCAAGATCCTCAAGGGGTACCCGTTCAAGGAGCCGGAACGCATCCAGGTTACGACGGATGCCAGCCTATTCGGATGGGGCGGCCATGCCCTGGATCGGGTGGCGCAGGGTCGTTGGTNACCGTTGACTTACCTGAACGGTCCTTCTATGTGTGCTGCGAGGGGAATCCAAACCCACCCGCAGCTTCGGCTGACCAGGGTTGTCGTGACTTTTGACTTGACTGACTCTCCACTGACTTGTGACTTTGACTATGACTAACTTTACCTAGTTTGTGACTTGTGTTTCTGACATGTTTGTATACCTTTTGGGCTATGGCCATCGTTTGTTATTGTTATACATCATTAAACGGCTGACTTCGTACAAAACTGACCCATCCAGTCAGAGGAGGCGTGGTCACCAATTTATATAACTCAGTCTCTAGGCTAATAGACAAAGTTAACTCATGCTTGGATTCCCCTCGCAGCACACATAGAAGGACTGTTCAGGTAAGTCAACGGTCGATTTTGGTGAAGGGGCGGGATTTCAGGAGGCAAAAAATGTATTCAGTGTATAAGACACAGATTTTCAGCCTCTATTTTGAGGGAGAAAGGTGCGTCCTATACTCTGAAAAATACGGTATGTACACATATAGGTATAGGAATCTATTCCCAAATCTAGATTTCAATTTACTATTCTTTGAATGTTAATGTAGTTTATACTAACAAAAAATGTGGAATGTTGTTTTTTTCCTATTAAATTATTTTTTTCCCTATTAAATGACTAGAACTGTGATAGAAGTTTTCATGTGAAAATTTGTTCAGCCATTTTGTCTCTTAAGTCTAGAGACTTTCAATAGAATATAACTATTTACAAGGTAAATTTGAGTTTAGTGCCTTTTTGGAGTTTAATGCCATTATTTTAATTTGATACTACCATATTTAACTATTTAAAATATCACTATTATTAAACATTTTTCTTTTAAACAGCCTTGCAGTGTTTTTGTCTTCACTGTACAAAAGAGAACTTCACATGTACAACAGATGGGCTCTGTTTTACTTCAGTGACACGGAATAGAAACAAAATTCAACGCAACAGTATGTGTCTTGCAAAAACCGATCTGTTTCCCAAAGACAGGCCATTTGTTTGTGCTACTTCAACAAGTGAAGGAGGAATTACAGTATCTCATTGCTGTGATAAAGACTTCTGCAATAAAATAGATCTTCCAATTCCAACATTAGGTAATCTTTTGTTTTTACTAGCCGAAAATGGATAGCTGAGAGAATTTTCTATAATCAAACGTACCTATAAACCACAATTTTATTGTCTTTCATTTCACACAGTACCAAGTTCTCAATATACTATTTAACTAATGAGTTCCTTGTTTTATCTTTTGTGCTTCCTTAGGTCCTGTAACAGGGAAGTTTTCTTCTACCCTAGGACCTGTGGAATTGGCTGCCGCCATTGCTGGGCCAGTTTGTTTTCTTTGTATTTCACTTATGTTGATTCTTTATATCTGCCATAACCGTACATTCATACACCATCGAGTTCCAAGTGAAGAAGATCCTTCAATGGAGCGACCGTTTATATCTGAGGGAACTACTTTAAAAGATTTAATTTATGATATGACCACTTCGGGATCAGGATCAGGTAATTTGATTTGATTGATTTTAATTTGATTTTATTGTATTTCAAATCAGGGAAGGGGGTACAGACAAAAAATAAAAACGAAACATAACAATGCATAATTTAAAAACACACAACAGTCATACCATTCGAGACGGGGGCAACAGCTCTTTAGCCCCAGGCCTGTCGGAACAGCCAGGTTTTAAGGGCTTTGCGGAAGGCCTGGAGGGTGGTGAGGGTTCGAATCTCCACGGGGAGTTCGTTCCAGAGGGTTGGAGCAGCCACAGAGAAAGCTCTCCTCCGGGTAGTCGCCAGTCGACACTGGCCGGCGGATGGAATTCGGAGGAGGCCTAATCTGTGGGATCTAATCGGTCTAGTGGAGGTGATTGGCAGCTCTCATATTCCAGTAAATGATTTTTTAAAAGTTATACTGTTAATAGTACTATGGACTCATAGAAACTTGCTATATATTATGAGGGGAATTATTAAAAAAAATATTTTAAAATGTAGGTGTGGGCTTTTTTTTATTGAGAGTTTCATTTGTTATGCCAATAAGAAAATATTATTTGTTCATAGAGACTTTGCATCTTGTCAAATGGAAAAGGAAATCCCTTTCTTGATTAACTTTCATATCAGGATAAAAAAATATTTGAAGCTTAAGTTTTATGGTATTTCCAAGTGTAATGCCCTGTTGTAGATAAAACCCTAACCGAACAATGCTTTATACATGTAAAAATGCAAGTAGAAAAATAGGAACCACCTTTGGTGGGAAGGTAACTGCATTCCATACCCCTTCAGCGTTTAGTCATGCTGGCTACATGACTACGGAAACGTCTTCGGATAGCGCTGGCTCTTCGGCTTTGAAACGGAGATGAGCACCACCCCCTTGAGTCAGAAACTACTAGCACATATGTGAGAGGGGAACTTTTACCTTTTTAACTATACTTTATCCTTAAGATTTATAACACATGGGTAGTCCTCACTTGACAATAATTGGGACTGCAATTTTATTGCTAAGCAGTGTGGTTGTTAAGCACAAAATTATGTGATCACATCACTTAGTTACCACAATACAAGAAGTCCATGTTGCTGGCATTCATCAGAAAGCATGGATCATTAACAAGAACCACCTTGCAACTTCCTGCTGATTTCCACAAACCAATATCATTTGAGAATATGGCAGGATGCTGTAAGTCCCAGGTAGCTCATAAGCAGGCCAGCAGAAAGGTAAATGGTTGTTTCCATATGCGGGAGAGTATATATGTTTGCAATAGGGTGCACAAGCTTGTTTGATCTGAAGGTGGCTGTTATTGGATGAGGCAGGATGTAGATCGTTGCAGGGATGTGTGTGATTTTGGGCTGTATGTTGCACCTTTTCCATTGAGTTGGTTGTGGGAAATGGCAAGGAAGTTGGCAAATAACTATCACGTAACTCATAATGGTGTTGCAACCAATGTGTGAGCTAGTTGCCAAGCCCACAGATCACAGTCAATTATGGGGGCTATATTACAGCCAGAATTCAAGAACCAATTGTAAATAATGCTCATTCAGCACCACTGCAATTTCAAACAGTTGCTGAACAAGTGATTACTAAACAAGGACTACTTATTAATATATTTATCTTTACATTGCAATTTTGTTTCTGGAATTCAGAACAATATACATAGAGCTCCTTCCTCCTATTTTGCCCCATAACAATACTCTTTGGGCTAGTGGGAATGATTAGCCCACCGTCACTTGTCAAGGTTCTATAGCTAAAGGTAGAACCTCTAGCCAAACTTTTAACTACCATGTTGCTTTGGTTGCCATGTATTTTGAATGCTATAGAGAAGCCAAGCAGGTGTCCTTGGAGAAATGAGGCATTGATAATAGTTGCAAAAGCATGCTCAAAAGAGACAGTAAAACCATACAAAAGAGCTAAGCTGACATAATTCACTACATGTGTTCCCTAGTTTATATCCACCCATTCAGCAACCATTCAATGGACTTATAACTGAACCTAGAAATTCCAGCCATTATTACATCCGTACAATTATCATAGTGAGGGTGTTTAGCTTGGCTATTGCAATGTTGCAGCTAGCCAATCACAAGACTGTTATTTGCAGCTTTTGCAAAATCACTGGAGAAACTGTTAGAAAAGGTCACAAGTTTCTCCCACTATTTTGTCTTCCAAGGAGCTTGCTGTGGAATACAAGATAGTGTACTCTGTAGCACTTTCTGCTCACCCTGATTCCGTCATATAGCCTGCCAGCAGCAACACATTTCCTCACTTTGTGGCCTCCGCTGGCCTTTCCATGGCTTCCACCAGCCTGTCTGCATCCATAGCACTTGCCCATGGCATCTGCTGGCCCACTTGTATATATAGTGTCCACATTTGGCCCTCATTGAGCCAATCACAATCTCCTTCCTGCAGCTTCTCCACATTTCTTCCCTGCTTAATGATCTGTGTGGTCCTGGAGTTATGACAGCAATCATGACTGTGAAATATGACATATTATATTTCACTTTACAAACCCATGTGACAGCATTCCCAGTACCAACAGCTGTTGAAATCTGAGAATCTGTAGAATATAAGAGAAGAGGAGTAAAAAAAAAAAATCAGTTCAAGCTAATATCAATAAAATGTAGTACCACCCAGACTTGTGGAGTATATTTCTTGACCTGGTTTATTTCAAAGGACAAACAGGTCTGTACAAACCAGGTTTGGTTGAACACCAATTGGAAAATTATTTCAGCTTTAAACAGATTTTGTGACCCACTTAATTGATTTAGATTACACATTCAAATATTAGTGGAAATGTGATAAGATTCTTTAGCTATAACAACTCCTTAGATATGGGAGTAGAAAGTTGCTGTGATTCAAAGATTATTGAAGTATTTGTGTATTTATAGTAAATGCAATAGCATAATATGGGAGATTAATGCACCCAGACAGCTGCCCAAAATAATTTATTATTGTTGCTGGAAATTAAACTCTTACTTGAAGTTTCCTTTTTTTAACAAAGCAGAATTGGTCTCCTTTATTTATGACCAAAGAAAAAGTATGACCAACTAGAATTAGTAATAGCTAGATGCTTTAATAGTCTTTTGATAGGAGGAAAAAGCCTTGTAGATCAAAACCTGGATTGATTAATTGGCTCTTTATCACTGATCAGAAAACTTTTTTTTTAGGTTTGCCATTACTTGTTCAGAGAACAATTGCAAGAACAATTGTATTACAAGAAAGTATTGGAAAAGGTCGCTTTGGAGAAGTCTGGCGAGGTAAATGGAGAGGAGAAGAAGTTGCAGTAAAAATATTCTCTTCAAGAGAAGAACGCTCATGGTTTCGTGAAGCTGAAATCTATCAAACAGTTATGCTCCGTCATGAGAATATTCTTGGATTTATAGCTGCAGACAATAAAGGTTGTCACAATCCAGAAATACTTTTACTTATGATATACATGTTGTTATACTTGTTATTATATACAGGAAGTCATCAAATTATAACCACAATTGGTTGCCCAACATTTTGATTGTTAAGCAAATCAGTTGTTAAGTGAGCTGTACCCCATTTTTATAAACTTTTTGCCATTGTTGTTAAGCAAATCATTGTAGTTGTTAGATTGTATTCGTTAAGCGAATCTGGTTTCCTCATTGACTTTTTGTGTCAGAAGCCAGATGGGAGGGTCCTAAATGGTGATCACATGACCTCAGGATGCGGCAATCACGATAAATACATGCCATTAGCCAAGCACCTGAAGTTTGATCATGTGACCATGGGAATACTGCATTTGGTCATAAGTCAGAGTCGGACTTTTTCGGTTCCATTATAACTGAAAGGTCACTAAATAAATGGTTATAATTTGAGGATTTCTCATTTCTCAATAAGAAATGTTAAAGACATAATACGTAACTAAACATTAAAAAATCTGGAAAAGTATAATTTTTTGGAAAAAAAATATGTTCATTGAAAAACAGTATTGTAATGGCTTTGAATTTTAAGAGTTGAAACTCAATGACAATTGTCAAGGCTGGAAAATCTTTATCTGCAATAAATTGCCCTAGATTTATTTGCAAGGCTAACAGAATAATAGCACTTGCCAATCAATTATTTGAGTACTAATGACCACAAGGAGATACTAAGAATATAAACTAGATGGGGAAAAAATAAAAAATTCTGGAAGACATACCAAGTTATTTCCAGATTGTTTCCAATGGCTGTCCATCAAGTTACAAGACGTTAGCCTCAATTTGAAGAAACTACCTTTCAAGTGTGAGTCATTTTATAGATTGATATTAAAAGAATTAAAACATATTGTTTGCAATGTGGATTTTGGCTTAATATTGCAATGATTTAATAAATATTTGTATCTGGAAATGTTTTTCATCTTGGATTTTTTAAAAAAAGCATATTTATTACAAATTCAATGCAGTGAGACTTAAATTTCCATGATTCATTAGGATTTAAACAATTGTGTTTAATTTTACAATCACTATTATTGATACAAGCAGACTGCAATAACATAGTTAATATTCTGATTACAGTAAAATAGTTAATATTCTTCATAAGAATAGAATAGAGAAGAGAATACTTTATTTGACCAAATGTGATTAGATATACAATGTATTTACTCAGAAGCTCTTGTGCATGCAAAACCACAGAGTAGTAATAATTATTAATTAATAATAACATTACCCAATAAGAGGAGTTAGTAAAGAAAGATGATGATGATGATGATGATGATGATAATAATAATAATAATAATAATAATAATAATGCCAAATAAGATGAATAAATAGACATAAGTCAGTATTGTGAGAATTAGGTGTTCAGCAGAGTGATAGCGTGAGGGGGAAAACCTTATCCTTGTGTCTAGCTGTTTTGGCAACTTGCATTGTTGTGGTGTTTGGCAACTTGTAGTTGCAGTGCCCTATAGCGACGTCTCAAGGGAAGGAACTGAAAGCCTGTTGATGTCCAAGATGTAAAGGGTCTTGTAGGTATTTTCTCAGCTCTCCTGACCTGCATAATATTCTATGGAAGGCAGGCTGACTGCTACTGTTTCTTCTGCAGTCCTTACTTTCTATTGGAATTTGTACTATCCTGTTTGGTTGCTCTACCAAACCAGACAGTTCTAGAAGTACACAATAACACTCTCAATAATTCCTCTGTAAAACTCTATCAACAGCTCTTGGAGCAATCTGAACTTCTTGAATTGACACAGTAAGAACATTTTTTGTTGTGCCATTTTAATGATGTTTCTAATGTTAGTGTCCATTTCAAATCCTGGAAAATTATAGAACTTAATAGAACCCAAAAATTTGAAGGATCTATTCTTATACTGTGCTGTTAAATGTAGTAAGAGATGGTAGATTAGAAGGGTTTCTCCTAAAATCCAGTCTCATCTCTACAGTTTTAAGCATGTTCAGCTCCAGACTGTTCCAGATGCACAACAGGGCCAGTTGTTCAACTTTCTGTCTATTGACAGACTCATCGCCAACTTTTATGAGACAAATGACTGTTGTATCATTTGAAGATTTCAATACTTTAACAGAGAGATCTCTGGATATGCAGTCATTTTTCTAATATGTTTTGTTTACTTTGTTCCCTTAATTTTAATTGTTCCTTTTATTTTTATTTGCAGATAATGGTACATGGACACAACTCTGGCTAGTGTCAGATTATCATGAGCATGGTTCTCTTTTTGATTATTTGAATAGGTACACTGTTACTGTAGAGGGAATGATAAAGCTAGCATTGTCAACTGCCAGTGGACTTGCACATCTTCACATGGAGATTGTTGGCACGCAAGGTAACTTCATCCCAATGTTTGTTTCAGTTGTTAATGTACATCTTCTCACAGAGGTATACATTTTGAAATCATTTTAATCATCTCCATTGCAATTTAATTTGATTTAGCATTTAATTTATGTGATTTGTGTTTAGATTAAAACAATGATTACATGGATAATACTTTTGGAATATCTACTCATTAAAGCTTTTAGTGGGAAACACCCCTCCTCACTATTTCCCTCTTACTATAGTTTTTCTTCCTGAACCCATAGGAGCACCATTTTAATGAATATTCCTTCTGAAAGTTCTTATTCTTTTTCTATTTTTTCTTTTAATTACCTATTCTAAAATAGGTTTTTCTATATTCTCCTGGAGACACATAGTAAAAATAGTGAGAGGGAAACCAGATTTTTAAAAAATCTAATAAGTCTAGTAAAAGAACTACATTAGTCTAATATATTTATTTTAGCTGAAATTAAGATTTTCCAAACTAAGATAAGATTCTCAGATTCTTTATGGCTCATAAATTTACTCTTTTTGAAGATTAACATTCTTGGAACCATTAATTTGAGATATATGGATAGTTCCAAAATGCCATCTTTCATGTAGAAACAGGCATGGTCTTGTATGCTAGAGCATGGTTTCTTCTAATTATCCTTTGACTCATGTTAATTCTATTTCCTAAAGGTTTGGCTCATTAGTATGTAGAGATCATTTTTTAAAACCCTAGAAAAAATTTCTATATGGGATTCTGAGATTCAATATAGAAAGTTTGTGCTTATTAGGTTTTTATAATGTTAGAACTGCCCTCAAAACAATGAATTTGGTATATAGATCTCCAAACAAATTTAAGCCAAGTGCCATACCACAATATTGATCATATTCTTCTGAAAAGGAGATCTTCATTAATCCTATGTTGAACAAACATCTCTCCAGGGAATGTTCTTGCTATTTAATGTTTCTTCTTTCCGAAAAAGACTCAAAATATCTTCCCATTCATTCAATTTTACCATTGACCAATAAGCTGCATCATTAAGTTTTATTTTTTTTAATAATGCTGTATTTATTCTGCTCTATTTTATCTCTTAATTATTTTTATTATACTTAATAGTTTTCTTTTATGTAGAAGTATTTTATTCTATCTAGCCTTTGGTCTGCAATAAACTGATTTTATTTGAAATTCACAATAACTTTGTTTAAAAAATCACAACTTCAAATGATTGGGCATAGTTTTTTTTATAATGTTCATACTGATTCTTCCTTATTTGTTTATTAAATTTATTTGGTGCCTATTTTCCCATGGGGCTATTCTAGGCAGCTTACAACAATATAAAGGAAGAAATGAAAATAGTGTGAACAGATCAGAAATAAGATAATAAAACAAAAAAAAGGAACAATGAAAAGAACATAATGAGAAATACAACTATATGATTACCAAAAAAAGAAGCATGGATGGGTAGAGAAGAGAAAACAAGGGAGGGGAGGGTCTGTCATCAATCCAGCAGTCACCTCCAGTGTGCAATTTCCCCATTTGGACTCCAGGCCAACTGGCAAAAAAATTTAGGCTCTTTGAGAAGGATAGGAGGGTGGAGGCAGATATTACTTTAGAGATTAAGATGTTTTTAAGGGCAATGTTCTTAGGAGAAAGCTCTTCTTTTGGATCCCAACAAACCTATGCACTTAAGGACTCTAGAAGTCATAAACAGCATGTTGAACTGCATTTAGAAGCAGACTGATTGCCAGTGAAGTTTTCAGAGAAGAGGTGTTATATGGGGCATCCTAGAGTACCAAAGACTGCTCTTGTTGCTGCACTTTGCACCAATTGAACCTTGTGAATGGATTTCAAGGGTTGCCCCATACAGAACACATTTAAATAGTCCAGACAAGAGATGTGTAGGGCTTGAATAACTGAGCACAGGGAATCATAATTCAGGAAAGGTTGCAGCTGATGCAGAAACTGGAACTGTGCAAAAGTTTTGTCTTCTACTTGGTATTTGATCAGGTGATGTAAGTCCTAGGAAAATTCCAAAGTTGCAAACTGGATCTGATCAGGGTAGTGTAATTCTGTCCAGATCTAAGGATGATAAACATTTGGCTCTTGAGGCTCCATGCACCCAAAGCCACTTGGCTCTGCCAGAGTTCAGTTGAAACCTTGTTGTTCCTCCACCCAGAGCCTTACTACCTTGAGGCATAGCAAGAGAGCAGCAACAGTATCACTCAGGTCACCATGTGTAAAGAAAAATTCTCTTCGCACATATGTGCTAGTCATTCCAGACTCTAGGGGGTAGTACTCATCTCCATTTCAAAGCCAAAGAGTCAGTGCTGTCTGAAGACATCTCCGTGGTCATGTGACCAGCATGATTAAATGCCAAAGGTGCAAGGAACACTGCTACCTTCCCACCAAAGGTGGTTCCTATTTTTCTACTTGAATTTTTTACGTGCCTTCAAATTGCTAGGTTGACAGAAGCTGGGACAAGTAACGGGAGCTCACTCTGTTATGCAGCACTAGGGATTCGAATTGCTGAATTGCTGACCTTTCTGATCGACAAGCTCAGCTTCTTAGCCACAGAACCACCGGATCCCACTACCTTGTGTAGCGATATACTATATTTTAAGAAATTATAGGAACCATTATTGTGAATTTTGTTATAAAATATTGGTTTATTTGAATTAGATTCAAAAATATTGGTTCATCTCAAGTGACCATTTATATTTTGTTCCATCAATTTTAGACATTTTATTAGAACTACTGGATAATTTTGAGGATATGAACTTATTGCTTAAATAATTTTCTTTTGTGTGTGTGTGTAGTGTTTAAATATGTAGAAGCTCCTACCTTTTTTTCAGATACTAACATTCTGATCAAATTGTAATTCTTTTAAAGCAGGAATTCCTAAATTCCTATAATCAACTTCCTTTCAGTGTAACCCTCCCTAAAAACCCAAACACCAAAATGAACAATGAAATAATAATGAAACTTTGGAGAATAAATTTATTTTAACAATGTAACTAAAATATTCTTATATCTCTCCTCGACTCCATCTGCATCTCAAGAGAGGTGATACCTTATAGTTTGGAAACCTTATTTTAAAGCTTATTCATCTTTATTTAGTAATTCTTGCTATATTGTCAGAATTTAACAAATCTGAATTTCAATTTATAATAATAAATTTAGTTTAATTGCCATCAAGTCATTATCATGACTTTTATTGAGGTTTTAGATAGATTTTTCTCCATTATGATCTGTCTCTAGCATGGTTTTTAGGTCTTCCATAGTGTTCTTCTATCTTACTGCTGATTGGTTTGTCCTCTTCTCTTTTTCCTCAGTCTTTCCCAGCATTAGAGTGTTATGTGGAGAATTAGTTTTTATGAAACTAATTAGTATGACAATTAGTATGAAATAGTATGTTCAGAGTGGAATAATTTGAACTCCATTAACAGAAATAATAATTGTTGCTGAAGGTTATCTTATATTGGACAATCATTTATCTGGGATGGAGTGATGATCCATAGGCAGAAGACCTCTAGGGTCCCTTCCAGCCCTTTTACTCTATGAGCCGCATATTTTGGGCCTGGAGTTAAGATTCAGGTTGACTTAGTTGATGGTATTAATAGTGCTTCTATGTGTTTTAATTTCAGGTAAACCAGCTATAGCTCATAGAGACTTGAAATCAAAAAACATATTAGTAAAGAAAAATGGAACATGTTGCATTGCGGATTTAGGTCTGGCAGTAAGACACGATTCAGCTACAGATACAATAGATATTGCACCAAATCACAGAGTTGGAACAAAGAGGTAAACTGATGCTTTTTTAATGGAATATTTTACATAGCATATTTTTCGGAGTATAAGACGCACTGGAGTATAAGATGCACCAAAGTTTTGAAGAGGCGAAAAAGTAGGTAGGTAGGTAGAGGGAGAGAAAGATAGAGAACTACAGTAGGTAGGTAGGGAGAGAGAGAGAGAGTAATTAGGTAGGTAGATAAAGAAATAGAGAGAGATAGAGAACTACAGTAGGTAGGTAGGGAGAGAGAGAGAGAGTTGGTAGGTAGGTGGATAGGTAGGTAGGTAGGTAGGTAGGTAGGTAGATGTTTCCAGGTGTATTTATCCATGGAGAAGGAAATTGCTGACAATAAGCAGCACTTAAGACTTTGTTTCTTCTGGCACAGCACTTGATCAATGTAATTCTCATCAATCAGAGAACTTCCCAAAAGGAGGGAAAAAAACTTTGCACTCTGCAAACCTCCCAAAAACGGCTTGTTTTTCGCAAAAACGGGCTCATTTTTTAAAAAAGGCATGAATAGTTTGGGGGGGGGGTGCAGAATGCTCCTGGGGAAGGTGGGGGGCAAAAATGAGCAAAACTTGGCCTGTTTTTGTGAAAAAACAGGCCTAGTTTTTGTGAGTGCTGCTGGGAGCTGGGGGGGACAAAAACCGGCCCATTGTTTGCTCATTTCTCCCCTCCCCAGCCCCCAGGAGCTCTCTGAAAGCCTCCATAAGGGTATGCAGAGCCATTTTGGTGAAGGGGCAAGGCTTTGGGAGGCAAAAAATGCTGTATTTGATGTATGAGACGCACCCAGATTTTCAGCCTCTTTTTTTGAGGAAAAAAGGTGCGTCTTATATTCCAAGAAATACGGTAATCCAAACTGAAGATAAGCTAAACAGTAGATTTTAAAGACAGTTCCTACAACAATAAGAGAAAGTCTGTTGAACCCTTTGGAATCTTGCAGTAATGTGACCTATAGTGTGGTGAGAACTTCTAAGTCATTTTAAAAGATAAAAAGATCCTGGTTGTATATTTCACAAATTTTCTCTATGAAAACCAGTATAATAAAATGTCCTCATATTGAACGTGGAAATGAGTATGAACTCATTTGAAAGTTATTGCTTATCATCCTAACTTATTGAATATAAGTCATTAAAAGGATACATATTGCTGCATGCTCACAAATGAGAGGAAATAATATATTTTGCCTTATTCTTTCCTTCTTTATTCTTCTACAGTAAGTGTCCCAGAACTGCTGAGTAGTGCCTTCTCTTTAATTAAGAGTGAAAGCATAAGTGATTGAAAGGTGACCCTCTTCTCCACAAAGCAATAAATAAAATGGAGAAGAAAGATATTTTTGGACTTGTACTTTTCTATCATTCTTGGTAGCCTATTAACATGTAATCTTTTAATCTTGGAAATTCATGTAAATATTAATGAGGAATCAAGTTTCTATATATATGTATGAGTCTTGTTTTAACCAATATCAGATAAACTTTTGTCTGAAATATATTGTATTACTTCAGTTTCCAGATAAAATCGTATGTCAACAATACAATTCCAGTGTAGTTCTCTGACAAATGAGTTTTCTATATGGAAGAGTTTTATGTCAGAAAAAGACCTTCATTTGCAGCCTGATACTGTGAAAATCAATTATTTTCTCTAATTTATTAGTTATCAATCTCGTTCAATGCTTTATTTTTCTAGAAAACTTATAGCAAATTCTATTCAGTCACAGAAATAATTAAAACTTAATATTATATGTAAAGTACCCCTGCTATGTGGCAGGAGATAGCCAAACCTGACTGATCTCAACTCAAATGGTGCAACAATAGCTGCTGTTCAAAATAATGTATAGACATCTGTCTCCTTCGTGGATGAGTAGGAATTATTTGCAATAACTAATAAATAGTCAACAATTCTAAATAGCTATTATTTATTTAATGTATTTATATGCTGATCATCTCACTGGCACAGTGATTGAACAGCTTTCATAATGATTATAATATAAAATAATTAAAATTAGGAAAGATTAAATAAAGACTAAAAACCAAGATAACAGGCCACTTTTCTTGGACCCCGCCAACCAAAATCCTTTGGTAGATGGAATCTGAAGTAGACATCTATTGGAGCAAGTGGGACAGGCCAATGCATCTCCTCATATAATCTTGGATTCATTCCCTAAAGGACTTTAGAGGTGTTAACCAACAACTCAAATTGGACTCAGACTAGCACCAAGTGCAGCTCCCACAACAGTATTGTTATATATTCCACCCGGGGGGCCTCTAGAACTATTCGCACTATTGCATTCTACACTAGTTGTAGCTTCTGAATACTCCTCAAGAATAGCCCCGCGTAGAATGCATTACAGTAATCCAACTGAGAGATGACTAGGGCATAAGTTACTCTGTACAGGATCTCATGATCCAGGAAAGGGTGCAATTAGAACACAACGTGAAATTGAACAAAGGCAATCCCAGACACTATTTCCACCTATTCTTTGAACAGGAGATGTGAGCCCAGGAGAACCCACAGATTGTGCCTAAAACCTGTGGTAGCAAAACCCCATTCATAACTAAAGATGATAAACTCCCAGGTCCCATGGCCCTTTGAACCCATCTTAGCTCCTTTCAACTGAAGCCTTTTGTCCCACATCCAAACCCCCAGTCCCCAGGCACTGCAAGTTGGCAGCTGCAGTATCACTTGAGTCACCTGAGATGGAGCTATAAAATATTAGGGTCATTCTTGAGATGAACAGGAATGAGGCAGTTTGAAATTTTTAACCCAGTTAGGGAAAGGCAGATTATAATTTCATAGCCAAAGTACATTTCTTCCCAAATAAGAAAGGAAAGTGAATGTTTGATCCCAGATCCCAAGCAATGAATGCACATCCCCGAATCAGAAATGCTGCTTTGTTTGTGATTTCTTAGATATTTGGGAATGGCCATATACTATTGAGTGAGTAGAGTAAAACTCTCAAAACAGTCCTGAATAGATATATACGATTCTGATTTTATAAATCAAAGTTTTCAAAAGTTATGATGTGGACTTAGTAGTAATTACGACTTCAAAATCAGTAATATATTATTGTGAATTACTGTGTTTAACTTAGCCTGCAATAACTGGTTTAGTTTTCCAATTTAAAGCTTTTTTAAAAGGTAAACTTTGTGGATTTCATTGGAATAGCTAGTAATAAATAGTATACAATATAAAATTCAGATGATTACTTTGTAGAATTGAAAAAGTACTTACAGCTGCTTATGATGGTTTAAAAAAAATAAAATAATGTTTAAGCAGCATTGCTTTATACATAATACATATTGGTCTTTATATTCATAGGTACATGGCTCCTGAGGTACTTGATGATTCGATAAACATGAAGCATTTTGAATCCTTCAAAAGAGCAGATATTTATGCAATGGGACTAGTGTTTTGGGAAATAGCTCGTCGATGTTCAATTGGTGGTAGGTTAAAAAAAAACCCAACAATTAACTTCAATCAGTGTCAGAAATGAACCTTAAATTATATATTGGTTTATATATCTCAGGAATCCATGAAGATTATCAGTTACCATATTACGACCTTGTCCCTTCTGATCCTTCAGTTGAAGAAATGAGGAGAATTGTTTGTGAACAGAAGCTACGACCCAATACTCCAAATAGATGGCAAAGTTGTGAGGTAGATTCTTTTCTTTAGATAAGTTTTAGAATACTTTTAAAAATAAACCAATTTTTTTTTTAAAAAAATAATATTTTGATTTTAGAATTGAATTAAAAGAAATATGACAATTCTGTTTAAGATTATGGTCTCATATTTTGTATTTGTATTTACGGATAAATGTATTTAAATTTTTTTGTTATGTGATATAAAATAATGACTCACAAAATATTTTCTGTTTTATTTATTTGCAGGCATTACGAGTAATGGCCAAGATTATGCGAGAATGCTGGTATGCCAATGGTGCAGCTAGACTAACAGCTTTGCGTATAAAGAAAACTCTGTCACAACTCAGTCAGCAAGAAGGAATAAAAATGTGATTTAGGAAATAGTGTTCAAGAAAACATTTGAACACCAAAATGTGCACCTGGCTTGTACATTAAACAGTGTTCTACCTCACTGAGGGAACAGAAGAATATTGCTGCCTTTTATACAATATACATTATACAAGATAATCCGTTATTAGTCCAGAATTTCTCTAGATGCATTAAACTGTTGTACAGAATCTTAATTATTTTTTTGAAAGTCACATTGCTATCTATTATGCTCAAAACAAAAAAAATAAACTTGAGTGGAACGTGTGTCCAACGTATGGCGCTCAAAGACAAAAGGAAAGATATGATGGTACGCTGTATATTGTCATATTGTTTTGTTCTGATATTAAGATGCTATTATTGAATGCCTTTCATTGGAACTTACCTACATGACCTTATTTCATCTGGAGCACACATGCAATTTATGCAATACTTTGTATTATATGTCTGTCGTTTACATCAGATCATAATTTGCCTTTAAAACCATTGTGTATAAGTGCCACTTTAAAATTTTCTTGATGCAGTTCATTAGAATATACAAAGTCTTTGGTCCTTGTGAAATGACAGTAAATCTGTATTTAATCTGCTGGCTTCTACATACTTTGATATTACCAAATTTTTGGATTTCCAAGGCAGCAATGCCAAGTTCCTGCTAATTGGAGATCCTAACTTAGAGGATGGTACCAGATTGATTGGCTACAGGATGATTAAACATTCATGCATGCATTTTTTTATGAAATGTTTTTTCTCTAGAGCATAGGAACTGAAGAATGCAGATTAATTCTGTGCTACTCCTATGCTTTATATATTACAGTGAACAGGGTTATCAAATATAGAACTCTGAAAAAGAGCTTTACCTATAAAAAATAACTTTGATGAGGGTTTTTTTTTACATTCAGTATGAACAATAACCTCTTCAGTATGAACACTAACCTCTTAAAATAAATCCTCTTAAATATTGTGTTCTTTATGTGCAATGAAAACTGCTTTGCTAAAATTTGATCATTGCTAAATGCTTTTCTGAGAATGATCCACATAGAAAAATGTGGTCTGTTAATCTTATGGATTCATTCTGTATGCCCCAAATAGGAATTTCCTAGTACCTAGTTGTTTATGTGGATTTGGTCAATACATAATTCTTAATGTTGGCTTTTGTTGTCTGATAATGAACTTTGGAGAAATGAAGAAGCTGAGTAGACATTCTCTTTCTGTCATGCCCACCCCACTTGTGCCAGTAGAGGCCTACTGCAGATCCCATTAGTCAAATAACTCCAGCTGACAGGATCCCAAAGAACTTTTTCTGCTCTATCACTTGCCCTTCAGAACATTCTGCTCTTGGGTAAGATCTGCCCTCAGCCTCCTATTATTCCATAAGAGTCTAAACATCTGGGTCTAAAGTTGGCTTGAGGACCCAATGGGGGAGAACCATACTGGAGATGGCTACTCCACCTTGGCAAGAAGAAAACATCTACCCTAAGGAAATCTATTGGAAAAGAAATACATAATACACTGGGTTGAACAGAAGATGGAGGAACCTTTTCTGTCCCCATCCTGGTCAAAATTAAAAAGCAGGTGGCAGTGAAAGCTCTTAAAAGGGTTGTTTCTTTTCATCAATATTTTAAGAATCCTAAAAGCTGTTTAACTTCAGCTTAGATAAACATATTTTCTAATAAAATTCTCTAAACTAGCTTGATAAGATTCTTTTCAAAGATGGTAATCTTTTGTTGTTTAATGGACCAAAGTTGTCCAATATTCAACTACTTTATATGGCAAAGATAATACTGAAATAGGTTTCTTGCCATAGTAATTGGAGGGTAATATGCAGATTTGATCATCTTTTTAGATTCTAATTAATTTTAAGTTAAAAACAGTGACTTTTAAAGAGATTTTAAGGATCTCATACCCCTACTAATACTCCACAAATATTGGATTTTTATAATTTATTTCATTTATATACAGATATAAAATACATTCTTTTGCCTCCCACTGTTGTTGCATTATCAGCCTAAATGTTTACACAGTAGATATTTGATAGTTTTAATTTTGCTGTTCAGTAATATTTAAAATTATATAGATATTGATCATATCAGATTACCTATAAAATGATTTTAAGGAACACAACCCCATAATTAAAAAAAATCTTACATTTAGGTTTAGGCTCATAAGGATCAAGTTCAACTCCTTATTCTTTATTTAATTTATTCAATTAATTTCCAACAACTCCCTAACACTGCCTATCCAAATTCTCATTTTCACTGAAGAAGTTACATGGATAATAACAAACATTTCAGTTTTAACAAGCTTTGGTCCAGTTGCCATGATTTTTGGCCTGGATGATCAAATACTTAAAAGTTAAGAATTTTACTAAACACTTAAAGTGCTGCCCAACTTTTAATTTTTCACAAACCTATATTAAAAGGGTTCTAAATGAATTGTAAGCCAAGCTCCATGAATTCACATTTAGCCTATTTGTATTGTACTATTAAAACAGCTTCAGAAGTATCTTTATATTTTTAAAATACTGCTTTAATCTTAAATTACCTCATGACAAAATATACATTTACCTCTATATATATTTAATGTTTCTCAAAATATAAAGCTTTGAGTATTTTGTTTCTCTTAATGTGTTTTAATGTATGATATTGTTCTGATCAATCTGCAACATTGCTGGTATTTAGCTAGCCCTAATTCAAAATGCTCTTCTACTTGGAATTCTTGCTAAAATAGGCTTTTTTGTTAAGTTTCCTATTGGAAATCCACCTAATATATTCTGGACAGAAGGATCCACATAATGGCCTAATGCAAGGTTTTATGGGCATATGCAGAGAGTATCTGCATAATTAGTAAATTAGTTGGTTGATGGGGTTTTTTTTTGTCCAAATTGCTCATTTTTTATTTTTGGTAAATATATTTATTTTGCCTTTCAATAGCCTTTCAAGGTAAAGACATTCTTAACAGATTGATGCATTTTGAGAATCTGTATAAATGTCAATTTTAAGTGCTCATTTCTCTATATATTCTTGATTATGTATACAGTTGGGAAATGTAAATTGTTGATTATTATTAAGTGCTAACATTAAGTAGAAAATAACAAAGCAGTGACATTTTTCTTTTTCCGTCCTTCATTTTAGACAGTTTTGAAAAAAAAAACTATTGTTTAAATATTATTAAATGGATTAACATTGCACGTTGTCCCATTATATTTTCTGGTTCTGAAAAATGAAAAAATGTTGAATTAATAGTTCGTTGAAGAATTTTGCAGTTACCTAGTTTTTGAAGCAATTTTATGGTTCAAAGTATTTTAAATGTTATGTGCTTTTTTAAAATGAAACTTGCAATGGACATAATGTACCAAGGACACCTGCTTTTAAACTATAAAATAAAGTATAGCTGAAGTAGATGTCATTCCAATTTGAGTTATATTTTACACGAACTTTTCTGCAAAATATAGATTGGATTCATTCAAGATTAATAGATTTATGTGGAATGAAAATATTGAGCACAATCCTGTTCCTTGATTAGTCAGCTTTGCATGTTTGCAGCATTTTTTGCATCTTTATTTTACTTTTAAGACATATAAAACACACTATTATATGAATTTTTCAGTGTAATCAATGCTGAAATATTTTGAAATAAATTTAGACATCAATCAATTCCGATGACAATTTCTCATATTTATATCTAATGATTCTATTTCATGCAGAATTTATTAACTTTTGCAACTTCCCTTTGGGGAAAAGCCACAGAAAGCTTGAAGCATAAAAGATTAGACCTCTTTAGGTTCTTTAGATTAAGCTCACAGTGTAAAGTTTCCATCCAACTTCTCCATTATTTATCCTCTTGCTAGTGTTTTTCCATTGTTCTCACCAAAAATACACCCACCCACACCGTTTGTATAAACTTCAAGCAATCTCTCTTAAATTCCTTCCAGAATTTAATATGGTAATCCTATGTATACACATTTGGAAATAATCATTGATCTTATCACAGGGATTTCTTGTAGATTTATAGGATTTGATGAATGACAATGCAACTATAACTTTATTGGATAAAGGGTATTAAAAAGCATATCCAAGCTAGAGACATCAGTAAGTTTCATTTCTGCTGGTCTCATTCAAGAAAATACAAGTAGCTAATTCTGTATCGATCTTTTCTTCAACTTTATCTTCTAACAGTATTGCCTTACAGAACTTTTTTTTCCTGTATTACTAAATATAAACTACCATAAATATAACCTAGGTGATTCCAAAATATGAAAAAGTTTTCTTTAACTGCACATATATTCACATGCAATAATTTTGCTGTAAGTTATGTGCACATGGCTCTATTTAAATTCTATTTTAGAAAGTTCTGGGTATAGAACATCTTGTCTGTTTAACTTCTCAGGAATCATTTGAATTGAGAGAAAACATCTCTGGTGCATTTCTTTTTGGGAGGGTTTCAGTGAATTTTCTAAAGTCAATGGACATCCAATATCCTCTGAATTGCAGAGAAGTTGGGCCTATTCAGTCAATCCTCCAGAAGAGACTGATGGATCCAATAGATTTCAGAAGGAGCTTAGTGTTATTCCTGAGTCTCCGGCACATGGTTTAGACAAAATTTAGCCATGAATCGAAATGTACATATGACAAGTGTGTTGGAACTGATAGTGTCTCTGTGGTCATGAATAGAACCTCCTGGTTCACAAAGGAGCTCCATGAGATTCACAAATATAAGAGATACACAGAATGCCATTGAAGGAAAACTAAAGAACAATGGATGAAACTGACTTGGAACAGGTAAAAGTGTTCATTAGACTTTTGTGGTAAATAAGAGTTGCACAATGTGTTTACTTCTGTGCTCTTAACTGAATCCAGAGCTGGTTAACAGCTCTGTTTCAGGGTGAACATTTGCAAGATTAATGAGAGAATCATTTTAGTCATACTTGGACAAAGTTGTTTGAATTTGGACAATGTCCTTATTGCTGTGTGGTCAAAGCGTCTCAGGAAGATAAATGCAGCTGAGTCCAAATTCTAGTTAATGCCTCTTAGCAGAAGATAGCCTTGCCTCCCTTGAAAGAGCCATGGTATGATCTATCCCCAAGATGCCACTCTTGGACCCAATAGTTTTAGATAATCTCTGTTCAGTCTCCAATCTTCCTTAAAAATATGTCCTGGGTGAGCAGGTTAGGCAGATATTTTGCAATCAGAATTCAGGCTGGGCTATAAAAAGGTGTAGAAATGTGGTGCTTTTGGAAATTTTATAAAAAAACGAAGTCCAACATGCCAAAACATAAATCTGAATCCACAGAAACATGACAGAAACAACATTTGAGAAATAGCAACGGTATTAGATAGGTTGTTGAATTATAAAATACATTTCTTCCAGTAGGTGGGGACATCATCCAGACATGGGTATTCCAGCCAGTATCCAATAGGACTGGGTCTACCAAATTCACAAGTCCCGCCCTTCGTGCTAGCCTCCCCAGCTTAGATTCAGTTAGTTTCCATTGGACTGGCTGTGTCTGGTGATCTTTCCGACGGATTTATTAGCTAAAAGTAGGATTAATTGGTGATAAATTGTGATTCAATTTATTGACTATTTTAAATCCAAAATTGACAAATGTGGTGCTTGGTGCAAAGATTTTGTGATTTATTCCTGGGTCCTAATGGTGTCTGAGGGAATTGGGCCCACGGGTTCTTCTCTCGGCCTGTTTGCTGCCTTTTCTCTACTTGGCTGTTACATGGAGGCTTCCTAGCTCCATTCGCCATTCGGATTCTTGCGGCTTCTGGGCTGCTGCCGCAGACTTGATGGTCAGCAGCCTCCCTTTCTCAAACCGTCAGCCGCCACCGCAACCACCCTGACGTGTCGCTCCAGATTGTCGTTGTGAAGCAGCGGATTTCCTTATCAGGGCTACGGCTGTTGTTGATCATGATAGAAATTGCAGCCTCAGACGACCAGGAGTTCGTGGTGACATAACTGGTGTTGTCGGTTTACCTTTACAGTCCCTCAGAGGACTAAAAGATTCTAGGTGGCCATCTTGGAAGAGGTTTCAGCAGGAAAAGGGGCAGGCGGTCATTTTGAACCATCAAAGGTCCCATCCGCCATTTTGACAGCTCCGTACAAGGTCGTAAGTAGAATGACGTCCAAGGTCTCGGATAATTTGAATGCGGATGCCCCTCAAGGCTCTCCTCCTACCTCTATACCACCTATGGGGGTTGGGGAGTCAGCAACCAGGAAAAGGACGGGTCCTGTAAGGGAGGTCCCTCCCAAGTCTGCCAGGTTTCCAGCGCAAAATAAGGCCCAGGATGGTACCTCTGCCTCAGGACCCCGCAAGGCCAGGGCCAAGTCTTGCCACTGCAAGGAGCCTATTCAGACCACAGTGACTCCTTCTCCAAGGGCCCAGAGTCCTTCTGAAGAACTGTCCACTGACACAGATGGTGAACATTCTCCCCCCGCATCCCCCTTGCAGCCTGAGGATGGGGTGATTGTCCCTGATGAGTATGATTCTGAAAGGATCTCACTCCTGACCTGGTTGTTGGTTCCCCTCCTCCAAGAGGGATTCCCTGTTATCCGGCTGACAAGGCTGATATTATAGTAGCTGCCATAGAAAGAGGCATTGCTGCTGGTCTGCAACATCGTGCTGCTGTGCCTTCTACCTCCCAAGCAGCTCATTTTTCTAAGAAGGCTAAACAGGGTACCTAATGATTTTTTATCTCAGGTTTCTGTTTCAGAGGTGGAAGAACAAGTCTCCAGGGGTTCTGATCTTTCTGATGATGAGGATCTTTGCCTGCTCCTTTCTCCTTGGTAGGTCTGTTTAAACCTGTGTTATTTCACTCCCTTTTCTTTTAAGGCGAAGAAGGTATCTGGCATTCCTGCAGCCAAGCCATCTGCCAAAACGGAGCAGGACAAGATTGACATGACTGATCCTGTTTTCCAGGCCTATGGTGGAAAAGGATGTGGTCTCTTCGCCTAAGATTTTTCTGGAGGTAGTCCAGAATCAATGGACTGCACCAGGGTCTGGTCTTCTCCCTTCCGCTTTAGATAAGCAACTTTATAACGTGAGTCAGGAGTTAACTAAGTTGCTGGAGGTACCTTCCATCGACCCTGCGATAGTGGCGCTGCCTCCTCCTAACGCTGCCCAGCTGCATCTGAGGATGCCCTCTGCCCAGAGGACAAAAGCTTTGATCAGACTTTGGTCAAGGGGCATCAGGCCTCTGCATGGGCAGTGCGGGCTTCTTCTGCCTTTTTCTTTAACAGGGCAGCTTCGTGTTGGCTGAAGCAACTTCAAGAGAGGCTTCCTCCTTCTGACAGGAGAACCCATAAGGACTTAAAACAAACTTAAGGCTGCAATGGAGTATTCCGTGGATGGCTCTTTGGATGCAGCCTTCAAGGCCATAGCTTCTTCAGTGTCCACGCGACATCTTTTGTGGTTCAAACAGTGGCAGGTGGAAGCCAGAACTAAGTGGAGACTAGCTTCTGCACCATTTTCTGCGGATCGTCTATTTGAGCCTCCACTTGAATTTATGCTGATTGAGTCTAAAGATAAGCGAAAGGTTCTGCCTTCTGCTACGCGTAGGACTGATAATAAATCTTCTTTCTCTTTCTTCTGCAGGCAGCCCTTTCGGAACACAGACAGGGGTTTCAATTACTCCCGTCAACGTCAGCCTTCCGCCAGGCAGGGATCTGCTACCTATGACAGGTCAGGCAAGAGTAACCAACGTTTCACATACAGAAAGCCTTACAAGGGAGCTTCTAACAGTCCATTCAGTAAGCAGAAGTGACTATGTGAGTTCCCTTCTCATTGGAGGTCGCTTGGCGGCCTTTGCAAATCATTGGGATGCCATCACCAACGATGCGTGGATTCGCCGCACCATCAGATTCAGATTGGCTCTGGAGTTTCTCTCTACTCCCCCGCAGCACTTCGTCACATGTCCAGTTTCCAGGGACACTATCAAGAGAAGGTTGGTGGGAAAAGCTATTCAGCATCTCCTTCAGATTCAGGCCATAGAGGAAGTGCCTTCCAACCAAGTGGAACAGGGTTTTTACTTTTGTCTCTTCATAGTGCCGAAGTTTTCAGGGGGTTGGAGAGCGATTCTCGATCTCAAATGTCTAAATTACTATGTAGTTTATCGGAGGTTCAAGATGCATTCCTTGCAATCCATCTTGGAGAGTGTTCGCCCAAACGACCTCTTCTCCTTGGTGGATCTCACGGAAGCATACCTCCACATCCCGATTCTGGAGGCAGTTTCTCCGGTTTTGTTATGCCGGAAAGCACTTCCAATATCGGGCTCTCCCTTTCGGCCTCTCATCGGCTCCGAGGGTCTTCACAAAAGTCCTTGCGGTTCTTGCAGCCCATCTGCGCGCTATGTCTATCCGCATTCTTTGTTACCTGGACGACATCTTATTATTGTCCAGAAC